CCGCCCAGCGAGCACACACACTGATTGCGCCCGCTTATCACCGCCCCTAATGAGGCAACCTCTGCCCCCTCCCCCCTGGAGCCCTCCAAACACAACACGTCGATACGATCGGGAAACAGTTCCCCGGGCAGGAATAGCTATGAGGGGCGGGAGAGGGGCGGGAGAGGGGGCGGCAGGGGAAAGGGCGAACGTGTCGCCAGCGATCAGACAAACTCATAGCTAAAGTCGGCAAAACCACCACAAATGTGCCCTTACATCAGGTAGAGGCAGTCTTGAGGACTGTCTAAAAGCCGTGGCAAAATTTGCGACACGCTGCCCGAGGAGGATGGGTGTGCAGTGGCCTCCCCGCCGGGCACGCGCCTGGCCTGGCGCGGCGGTTGGGGCTTCCCTCTGGTGTGTGGTCCACGCACCGGGCACCAGCCGTTGGAACAACAGCGGGACGGGCGCCGACCAAACGTCCAAATAAATGTTGTTTGAAACAATACTCCGAGTACTCGGAACACAGGGCACAGCGCTCACAGCGCAGGGATCCCAGAGCGCTTCACACGCAGCCAGTGCTCCGGGTAAGCCGTTTCATGAAGACAGACGTACGCGAGACGAGACAGCCGGGCAGACAGGCAGACAGCGCCCCGCCCCGCCCCGCCACGCCTCGCCACGCCTCGCGGTACAAATTGAATGACACCCAATCCATTTTTTCGGTGACCTCCCCGACGCACGCGCGGGGATAATAAGGGGCTCCGCGGGGACCTATAAGTCACTCAGCGGGACGCCACACCGCCCGCCCCGCCCCGCCCCGCCGCACCACGCCCGCATCCGTGCAAGTCACACCTCCCCGGCACGGCGCTGGTCTGACTGTCGGAGGTACCCCCTCCCCCGTCCCCCTCCCCTTTCCACTTCCACTCAGAGCTTATCCAGAGCATAATTAACAAGACTCTCTTTAACGCGGGGCGTGATCTGTAAAAATTATAACAACATCGCTGACGGCCGCCGCCCGCGTTCGCTGCTTTGGCCTCGCCGCCGCCGATGCCGCCTCTCCTGAACGTCCATGCGGGCGAGGGACCAGTGGGTATTCAAAGTACAGATGTCACTTTTCACCAAAAAGGTTCTATTATTAACAGTCATCAACAAACTTTTAATCTTTTCAACCACTTATTTTTTTCAATTTTCGTAAGACCTTAAGACTCACCTGCCCGGGGGCGGCTGGGGCGGCAGTACCCGCACCCGCGGAGTCCACCTGCGCCCTGCTGCTGTTCCAGTCGCGGACCCTGCAGTGCCGGACGGCCGAGGCAGAGGCGGGGTGCACGGCGTACCCTAGCGAGCCGCGAAAGGTGCACGCAAAAAAAGAATTAGCTGAGAAAGATAATGTATTACCTGGATTCGTAATAGGTATTAGTGAGGCTAGGCCAGCTAATTTTCTAGTTCTGTCGGCTAAGGTCATACCCGCAGTGGCTGGTCAGTACTTGGGATGGCGAAAAAGTTAGCTGCTACAGCTAATTTTACTACCTATCACTTATCCAGCTAATCTGTTTTTTGCGTGTGGCACCATAATACATCTAGTACCTGTAAGTCACCTGCTTGCGATGCACTCGCGCGGTGCGTGCCCTTCTCACCTCACAGGGCCCGGTGTCATGGACCCGCGGGTGTTCTGCCTGCCGGCTGCCGGGTGGCTTCCGTCGAGAGACGATACACCGCTGGCTGTTTGTCTGAACGGCTCCGACTCTCGGGCTCCCTCTCTCTCTCTCTCCCTCCCTCCCTGGATGTCTGTATGTATGGTCTGTATACAAATCAGGCATTGTTGGCGGCCCCGGCGGCCCGGGCCCCGCAACAGCGGCCCTAAGTAAGTGGCAATCACTCAAAAACAAGTTTTTGTCCCTCTTCCTTCGGCGTGCGTGGAGGGGCGGGGCCCCGGCGGCAACCCCTTATTCGTCTGCCAAGACAGATGGGAGCGGGTGGCGACCGTCCGTGAAGTCACTGCAGACGGGAGGACGCATCCTAACAAGGCCCGGGGGAAGGGAGGGGGGGGGGCAGGCTAAACACACACACTTGTTGCACAGACTCGCATTACTTCTCTCTTCTCCTCGCACTCACGCGGCAAATCGTTGACTGAGAAGGCAAAACACACACACGCACGCACGCACACTCACACATACACATACACACACACACACACACACACACACACAGTAAGACAGGAGATATTGAAGAAGGGATCACAGCACCGAGTACATTCCGTCATCTACGAGCAGGAGAGGTACTATGAGCAAAAACCCAAACAGATTGACAACAGGTTCGCATTAATTGCCTATCAATCAGTAACAAATTTATTTACGTAATTAATTAACATGGCACCCTTGATCAGTATCTCTATCAAGAGTTTCAATCGAAACAGCACGTGTTCAACTTAACTTAACAATAATAGGCACTTACTGGAAGTAAGCTTCTCACTGAGGGCAGCGTAAGGCTCAGTGCGGCAGTGCATCCTGGGGGTTGGAAATAAAAAACAACAAAGCGTGATCACATTGTGATCGGGTCGTACCGCACTCTGCACTGCTACTGGAGGAGGGGTGAGGCCCCCCCCCCCCCACACACACGCACTCTATCCTCCGCTCCGAAACCGCTTCCCTCAATGAATGGCTAATTAATTGAGCACATGCTTTATGTTCCCCTCCAGAGAGCGCCTAAGCCGCGCCGTGGCCACCAGTGGCGGCGAGGGCGCGGGGAGCACCGAGGCCGAGGCGAGCCGAGGAGGGAAGGGGGCAGCTCGCCCCGCGCTCTCCTCTTCCTCTGCTGCCATATCCGGTTCCGGTTCCAGAGTATTAAAGACCCTCTTTGTTAAGGGCCTATCCCATCCCAAGGCGCGCCGCGCACTGATCGGTTAAGACGGACAAGTGTCCCCGGCCAGCCGGGCGCAGCCTGAGCCAGAGCCACGCCCGT